TCTCTCTAAAATAAATAAAAATCATATTTTAAAAAGATTTATTTCTTTTTTTAAAGATGTTTTAAAAAGGTAAGTGAAGCCTTGGCCGGGTTGCTCAGTGGGTTGGAACACTTTGGCTCACACAGCTACTACAGAGAGAGCACACGAGTGAATGCGCAAACAAAAGCGTGCTACCAAGACAGCTCTTTGTTACAATTTGGTTGTACGACTTTGGACTTAGGAGAGAGCAGGCTTTCTTTCAAACCAACCAATCTCTCTCCTATCTCCTGTGGGCTTGTGCTGCAGCCTCCCCGTCCCCTCCAATCTTTCCCCCAGGTTTCCCAGGCTAGACTCCACCCCTTTAAGTTGCCACATGCACCCAGCAAAGGAACTGCCACTGCTGTTTCTATTCCTCCCTTGGTAATCACAGCTAATGACTGGAGCTGATTCTTCCTGCCCACTTCCAGAATGAAGTCCACTGGGTGGAGAGCACTGTCCCCTGGAAAGCCTGTGAATGCGTGGCTTCCCAGTGAATCAGGTTTAATGTCCAATTCCATTGGCTCCCTTCTTAACTAGCTAGCTACTTATGCTAACATGCACATGTGTGTATGAGTGTGTGTGTGTGTGTGTATATATATATATATTTTTAAGCCAGGTTCATAAGGTGTTCTACAATCATTAATCCAAAACATCGTAACATAAATACTTTTCCCAGATCATTTTCCAAGGGAAGCACTGTGCTTTTCAAAACAGACCCTTGGCATCTTCCTAGTTGCTGGAAGAAAGACCTATTGCTACTTGCCCTTGAAAAGGAAACATTTATCTATTTCCACCACCAAAGTTAAAAATAGTAACAAGTTCACATGCAGCACCTAGCAGCTTTCATCTAAATAGGTTGAAATTTGCCGGGCTGGCGTGACTCAGTGGTTGAGCATCGATCTAGGAAACGGAAGTCACGATTCAATTCCTGGTCAGGGCACATGCCTGAGTTGCGGCCTTGATCCCCCAGTGTGGGGCCTGCAGGAGGCAGCTGATCAGTGATTCTCTCTCATCATTGATGTTTCAATCTCTCTCCCTTCCTCTCTGAAATTAATAAATATATATGTTTTAAAAATAAATAAATAGGTTGAAATTTTACATCCAAAAGTTACATGGGGAACTTGCAGCAATGGCAAAGTGAAGAGGTCAGCAAATCTGTCTCCAAAAATACTATAAAACTGGGCAAGTGTCCCAAACTACTATTTCAGGACTCCAAATATCAAGCAAAAGCCAACAAATAGAGAAGTGTTTATGAAAAACTACTAAACTTTAGGTAAAAACAGGGGTCTATGGCAATCTTTTCAGGAAGGAAATAATAAAGATTGGAGTGGACCGACCCACTCACTCTGCAGATGCCCTTCCAGCCCCAGCACCACCCCAGGTGCGGCTGGGCAGGGAGCAGGAGGTTGGCTCCAGGGCGTGTCTCACCCGTCTGGCCCAGTCCCACCCCAACGGCCACCTTCTAATTAATTTCCTTTCAATGTTCACGAATCCACGCACTGGGCTTCTAGTTAATATATTAAGTGCTTGGAAGAATGCATGACAAATGTGCCTGCTATATAAAAATAGCTAATATCTTCATTAGTGAAACATTGTATCTTTAACAGACTGCGGAAGTGACAAATACAGTTTGGGGAGAAGAGTAATCAATAGTACTAAGAGTTTTTAGTTTGGTGTTCAGAGGAGATACCAGATAAGGTGGATTGGGAGTTTGGGGAAAACGCTAGACATAGAGAACTGACTCTTGCCACTTCCCTCTGCTTCTCACATCCATCTCATCTCCCATCTGTCTCATCTGTCACACTAGCCCCCTTTGGTCTAACAGGTCAGGCCCTTCACGCTGCTGTTTACTCAGCCTGGAAGGGCACAGAGTCTGGACTCAGTAAATATTTAATAATTCGATAGTTGAATTTGGAACTCTTTTAAATGGAGATTAAACTAAATACCTGGAAATGTATGAGACTGCCAGGTGTGCTGGGTAGTATGGCCCAAGCCTATAACTTCTTTAGTAAAAGGTTAAGGCAGCCCTACTCATTGCTCTTGTGCACCTAGGTTAACACACCTTGAAATGCCAGAAGTAATCCTCTTTCCAAGCCCCTCAAGGAGTAACCATCCTCAAGAAAGCACATAATTTTGTTAACTTTCCTGTAATCCAATCCCCACCTTTCTTTTTCCTACTCTCATGTCATCTTCCTGTCATTCCCGCCTTAATTCCAAATGTATAAAAGAAACTTTAAAACTGTCAGAGAAAGGGGGTGGGGAGAGGGAGGGGAGAGAATTACCAAAAAACTTACATGCTTATATGCACAACCATGGACATAGACAATAGGGTGGTGAAGGCCTGGGGCGGCAGGGTCAGGCTAGAAAGGGTCAATGGGGGAAAAGGGGGGACATATGTAATACTTTCAACAATAAAGGTAAAAATAATAAGATAATGAAATGCAAAGAAAAAGATAACATGTTAGGTTAAAAAAAAAAAACAGCTGTCATTCTCTGGAGCATTTGAGATCTTGCTTCCCAACATATGGCATCAGTTTGGCTCACATCAACCCTTATAAAAATTCTCTGAAGGTTTGGGCATTTTTTATGTCCTGTTAACGTAAACATATACCTGGAAGCAGAACCTCAAGGAATTGAGATAATGCTCCGGAGAATGGCGGGTTACATTTGTATTTATACATTGCAATCAAAGGAGGGACGTAGGTGGTTACATGAAATCCACTGGTGGCAGATTAAGGAGGAGGAATAAAGCAAAGCAGGGGAAACCCCTGGGATCGGATAAAAAGTAAAACAATGAACACATACTTAGGTGGGTGCAGGATCAATTAACATAATGAAGGAATTTGTAGTATCTGTCCTGGCGCCCAGCACATTTGGTGGTGCCCCAGAGGCTCCAGAAAAAGGGAAGTTACAAGTTACCCAGACATTTCAAGGGTGTGTTATCATAGATGTAAAAAGACAGATAGGCTCGGTTAAGGTAAAGGTTGACCTTGTCAGTGAAGATACCAGCCTAGGACATAACTGCCCACCGTAACGGCTTTTAAAGTTTAATTTCAGACCATCCTTTGTGGTTACTTTAGGTCTCTGAGTTTGCCAGACTGCCATGCAGGTCTCTGCTGAGCTTGTCAGGTCAGCGTGTGGCCCCTTTCGTCCACAGTCCATTGCACATGTAAGAAAGCATGACACAAAATAAAAGGCGTGCATACAGAAAAGAGGAGCCCAGCAAATGCAAAGTACTGGGGGAGGTAACAAGGACAGTGGAGTGACATTTTAAGCCATGGGTAACAACGCCTTAGATGCTCCAAGGAGGCCCAAAGGGGAGCACTGAAGGAATGTCTGCGTTTGGCAATAACTTCAGGAAAGAACTCAGAAACGTTCCCTGACGTTGGGAGGGGCAGGGGGAGCAGAGGGTACTGAGTTAAGGAAGCCAAGTTAGACCAATTTGCCAAAATGATTGATGAAGAGAAGCAAGATCCAGAGAAGGTGATTTCAGGGACAAACCCTGCTTTGGGGGTTTCTCTGATAGGAGAGTAAGGAAGCAATGGCGAGGCAAACAACTAAGGTACCAACGGAATGGAAAGGTGAGGCGAGGCCCTGGAGGCGCCGCACATTCCTG